CTCCTGGGTTCACACGATTCTCCTGCCTCAGCCTCCCATGTAGCTGGGATTACAGGCACACACCACAACACCTGGCTAATTTTTTGTATTTTTAGTAGAGATGGTGTTTCACTATGTTGGGCAGGCTTGTCTTGAACTCCTGACCTCATGCGTGATCTGCCTGCCTCGGACTCCCAAAATGCTGGGATTACAGGTGTGAGCCACTGCGCCTGGTCCATTTTGGTTTTTTGAGACAGGGTCTCACTTTGTGACTCACTGCCATCTCAACCTCCTGGGATCAATCAGTTCTCCCACTTCAGCGTCCAAGTAGCTGGAACTACAGGCAGATGCTACCTTGCCCAGATAATTTTTGTGTTTCCTGTAGAGAGAGAGTTTCGCCATCTTACCCAGGCTGGTCTCGAGCTCCTGGGCTCAAGTAATCCACCTGCCTTGGCCTCCAAAAGTGCTGGGATTACAGGCATGAGCCACCGTACCCTGCCTCAACAACTTTACCTCAACAGAGGTAAAGTATTTTACCTCTGGCTGACTAAAGAAAACTAGGGTAGATGTCCTGTTTCTTTCATACCCTGCCTTTTAGGTGTGTTGAAGGCATGTGATATTTGCATTAGAAAGCTTTGATATGGGTAGGCTTTATAGAGTCCCAGTTTGAAACCAGCACTCCTTGGGAATTTGAGATTAGAAGATGTTTACCTCTTTTTTTGGGGGCGGAGCTCAAAGTCTCACTGTTGCCCAGGCTGGAGTGCACTGGCAGAATTATTGCTTACTGCAGCCTCAAACTCCTGGGCTTAAACAATCCTCCTACTTCAGCCTCCCTAGTAGCTGAAACTACAGCCACACAGCACCACACTCAGCTCTGTTTACCTCCTGAGCTGATGAGGTTTCCTTCTGATATTGGCCAAAGGTTGATTTTCATTGGTTGGTTGATTGATTTAGACAGGGCTCTGCCACCCAGGATGGAGTGTAGTGGCATGATCTCAGCTCACTGCAACCTCTGCCTCCCGGGTTCAAGCAATTTTCCTGCCTTGGCCTCTTTGATTAGCTGGGATTACAGGCATGTACCATCACACCTCACTAAATTTTGCATTTCTGGCAGAGACAGGGTTTGCCATGTTGGCCAGTCTCGTTTTGAACTTGTGACCTCAAGTGATCCGCCTGACTCAGTCTCTCAAAGTGTTGGGATTACAGGCATGAGCCACCGCTCCTGGCCTTGATTTTCTTTTAATCTACAGTGCTTCTTTGCCTAGATTTTTGTGATGACATAAAAAAAGAATCTAAGGCCGGGCGTAGTGGCTCACGCCTGTAATCCTAGCACTTTGGAGGCCAAGGCAGGCGGATCATCTGAGGTCGGGAGTTCAAGACCAGCCTGACCAACATGGTGAAAACCCCACTTAAAAAAAAAAAAAAAAAAGAATCTAATAATTGTAATGGCATTTTATATAATAAAGAATTCTATTCTCTCATAAAGATCTTTTTTTCTCTGTTTTCAGTGGCTTGATTAAATTGGCATACCAGAATTTTTCCTATGGAGTTACCGAAATGTATAAAGCCTGTTTTCTTGGTGCAACAGTGAAGTATCTTCAAAAGTTCATCCCTGAAATTACTATCAGTGATATACTTAGGTAAGGAAAAGTGATAAGGAGTGTCGTGACCTATGTGAACTTGAGAGGTGGGTCTGTCTAACTTGGTGATAGGAAGCACCGTTTCAGAGTCAGTTTGCATATACACTGAATTTTTGTTTGCTCACTTTCCCAACGTGTTGTTGAATTCCCTTTGCATTACATGTATTGGATATTGCTACATTATGGCCCTTAGTGCTGGTCCATTTATAAGTATCTGGTCTTCCTTACAGCTCTAATCTGAAATCTTCATGACAGCTTTATCGTGGTGCCACCTTAGCCTTTTTGTCTGTCACTCATGATAAAAACATCTTGCCTGAAATTTAAAAACTCTCTCTGGCCAGTTACTCTTATAATTCCAAAGCCTTTTGACTTTAATTTTGTATAAGATTATTGATAGCTATGTTAACTAATTAGGTAATAAACACATTAAAACATTGTATTTTGCCGGGCGCGGTGGCTCACGCTTGTAATCCCAGCACTTTGGGAGGCCGAGGCGGGTGGATCACGAGGTCGAGACCATCCTGGTCAAAATGGTGAAACCCCGTCTCTACTAAAACTACAAAAAATTAGCTGGGCATGGTGGCGCGTGCCTGTAATCCCAGCGACTCAGGAGACTGAGGCAGGAGAATTGCCTGAACCCAGGAGGCGGAGGTTGCGGTGAGCCGAGATCTCGCCATTGCACTCCAGCCTGGGTAACAAGAGCGAAACTCCATCTCAAAAAAAAAAAAAAAAAAAAAAATTGTATTTTGATTGAGTCTTAAAACTTTAAAAAAAAAACAACTTTTAGGTTTGACGGTACATGTGAAAATTTCTACATAGGTAAACGTGTCATGGGGTTTATTGTACATATTATTTTATCACCCAGATATTAAGCCCGGTACCTAGTAGTTATCTTTTCTGCTTCTCTCCCTCATGCCTCCCTCCCACCTTATGTAGACCACAGTATCTGTTGTTTCCTTCTTTGTGTTCGTGAGTTCTCATTATTTAGCTCCCACTTATAAATGAGAACATTTGGTATTTCGTTTTCTGTTCCTGTGATAGTTTGCTAAGGATGATAGCCTTCAGCTCCATTAAAACCTTTTAGAAATACTCATAGACCTGGCATCT